ACTAATTATTTATAATTTATAAAATATTTATCTCACTAAAATGATTAAATATATTTTATTTAACTAATTTAACTAATGTATTAAAAAAAGTTAAAATTATTATTGTTATATAAAAAGGAAAATAATATATTTTTTATTTTTTGGCTCGACAAGATTTATTTCTTACTCCTACGTATTTCCATGTGTAATGAAGAATCAGAGTCACGTAGTTCTTTGAAGAAAATATTTGTGTGTTGATTAAATTTTATTTTTGTTAAATATAGGATTCTTGAACTGTCTCAGCTCATTCACCCTAAAAATATAAAATTAACTAAGGTGTACACCAAAGTCAATTTAATAAAATTTAATTATAATTATTACTATAAATATTATTATCTTAAAAACTTTCTTGGTTGGACATTTTTGTTTTTGGAGAAAAAATTTAAAGATAAGCTGTCACAACTTGTACTTTAAATTCAAAGGTTAAAAAGATGTCACATTTAATTAACCATTCCTCCAATAAAAGTTTTGATACAAATATTTCAAATATTTATATTGAATATTCTAATACTATATTTTGAACTTAATAATATTTTGAATTTAAATAAGAATTTAAAATGATAAAATAATCCTTTTTTAAAATGACAGATATTATTAATATATAAAAAAATAATAATAATAAAAAGAAGTGAGTTCGATGTACTCACTGTTTTTCGCCCAAGAAGTAGTAACTTGCTGGTCTCTTCCTCTAGGTTCCCTCTGGTCCAAAGTGGAGATGTGTGTGTGTGTGTGAGTGCCCTTTGGGAAGGCAAGGGCCGCTATTTATAGACTTTCAGGAGGGACCGGAACAACCCTTTCTGAATCCGGAAAGGCCTGTTTCGAGGTCGCAATTTTACTCACAACGACCATATTTGGAACGACTTGTTCCAGTTTCGGAACGGCCCGTTTTGAAATAGGATTTATAGGTATTTTGGTAATTTGAGAATGGCCCGTTTTGGGCTAAAAATTATAGGTCTTTTTTGAAGGTTGGAACAGCCCGTTCTAGTTTGGGAACGGGTCGTTCCAGTTTGGGAACGGGCCATTCCAGTTTTTGGGAACAGCCCGTTCTAGGCTAGAATTTATAAGTCTTTTTGAAGGTTGGAACGGCCCGTTCCAGCTTGGGAACGACCCATTCCGGGCTAGAAATTTTAGATCTTTTTGGAATGTTGGAAAGGTTATTTCCGGGCTAGAATTTATAGTTGTTTTTGAAAGGTTGGAACGACCCGTTTCAGTTTTGGAACATCCCGTTCCAGACTAGAAATTATAGGTCTTTTTGGAAGGTTAGAACGGTCCATTCCAGTTTGGGAACGGCCCGTTCTAGTTGTGGGAACAGCCCATTCTGAGCTATTAAAATCATATAAAAATTATTAAATTACCCTCCACAAAAGTATGAAAATTGAGGTGTTACATTTGGTTTCCATATTTTGTCTTTTTTATTCTTTCTTGTATATACCTTTTTTGCAATTTTTTTTAACAAAATTAATATTTACAAGACGAAATTGAGTTACTACACCTAGGATAATAGGGATATGGTGATAAGACTCACTTCCAAGAAGTTAGAATTGTGCAAAGAAGTAAAATCTAACATAATAGATGTAGGATTCTGATAACAATCCATACCAAGTTAGTAGGCCCAAGAGAATAATCAAGAGGCCCACATACTTTCCTCACTTTGTGTAATTGGTTATAGTCACTAAGGAAGGATAAGATACTATTATGATATTATTTGGTTGTAATTGTCACATATGCATTATTTTCATTCTACTAGATTCCTTTTCCCTAATTTGCATTGAGCCAAGGATGGCCAACAACATTTTGTATAAATAATGCATAAATGAATGAAAATGGCAGAGAATTAGCAAACTATTCCTCCTTTAGCATTAGACTAGCTATTAGTATCCTACCAACAGTGCGGCCTGCCCTTTCACCATGACTAGACACAATACCAGAAAAATCACAATCGATCGTCTTGAGGATGTTGTCCAATGACTTAAGGATCTTGGACTAGTTACTATAGATTACAATTGGTGTTGCGTTGATTATAAAGCTCTAAATGTTGATTATAAACTAATTTTGGTAATCACAATATTATTGGTATAGTCAATAATATTCTTCAAAAAATGAATGAATTTAGAAAAGAAGTTTCTTTTATCTTTTCTAATTTTCTTTTCCTATATCTTTTAATTTCTATAACTTTTGCTAAATTAAAAGGCAATCTTGAATAGTTGAAACTTTTATATTTTAATAATAATAAATAGAAAGTTTTTTTTTTAAGAGAAAATGTATTTTTTTATTAGAGAAAGTGTAAAGCGCTAGCTGTAATAAGACGTTGTTCAACCATACGAAACATATTATCTCATAGACTAGTATTTACTCTATATCATTTATGATGTTTAACAATGAAATTATGTGTTTGAATATTTCCTTAATAGATGAAACCTTAAAAATTTCGTTTAAAGACTTAAACTTTCTGGCATGGAGTAGCCTCCTCATATTGTGAACAATATCAAAGAATAAAGACAAAAATTATGATGTGTGGTGACTTTGTCTTTGCTTCAGTTTCTTACTTTTATAAGGACTGAAGCGTGGGAGTTTATTTCATTTCAAACTATGAAGATCATTAACAAGATAAGTCAATAAATAGTAATTACTGTCACAAATATTAATTAAAATTTTTCAAAATCAAAATTAAAATAAAACCTATTAATTCACACTATATATGAATGTATTTGAATATAGTGTATTTATTTGGGAATAAATTACTCTTTTACCTGTAAAAAAATAATATATGTTTTTATTAATTTTTTTTAAAATAAAGGGTGTGTTTTTTTATTTTTTATTTTTAAATTTGAATTTAGTTTCAGCTAAACATTTTTATCCAATTATATTTTTTATGCTTTAAAATACAGGTGTTTCATTAAATATTTTTATTTTCATAAATCCTAAATTGAAAAGCTTAATAATGTAGTACTTAATTGAAAATGTTTTACACATTACATTAGTGGGAGTAGTGTTGTTATTTGTTAGCTCCCAATTGGTTATAACATTCAATTTTGAAGGTTATTTTGATACGCTTGCACAGTACAATTTAAAGATTGCCAACAGTAACAGAACAAAAACACATAGTAGATGTTGTATGATTTGGAATGCCACATGTAATTCCTATATGACAAAATAATATATTGATTTTTCTCCTAATTTATAATGATTAAAAGGAAAAATTTAATAGTATAAATATCAATTCCTATTTTTGAGACATTACTAGTTAAGTTGAATCGCTTTTGAGAAGAGGTACACCAAGGATGAGATGAGAAGACATTATTATTATTGTCACAAACATCGAAAGGTAACAAATATAAATATTATGATAGTTCTTATTTTATTATTTTTTATTTTATATATATATATATATATATATATATATTTATATATATATATATATATATGAGAGTATTGTTTTAAACTTATAGTCATGCCGGGACAAACGTTCCATAGACATATTATTGACTATAAGGCTTGTTATTGAAAGTAGAAATTGTTTGCATTTTCAAAAGAGATGTTTAGATAAACTTTTTCAAGAACTATAAGAGAAAAAATATATAAAAAAGAATGAAATTGCTTTTTCAATCGGAAAAAATTAATTTATGCAAAGTTAACAAGAAAATTATAAAAATTAGTATGAAAAAATTTATATAACTTAATTTATGTATGGACCAATTTTGACTCATAAAAAAACTTTTGTTCCCTTTGTATTTATGTTTTGTAAGTATTTAGAGGGAAGTTTATCTAAAGACACTTATCAATTTTCCTTAGAGAAACAGATTTTATTTAACAAATTTTTTGCTTTGCAAATAATCAACAAAGGTTCATGCATAAATTATGTGAATTTTGATACTATTATAATAATCACCATTATAAGACATTTGGTTTATATCAAGGGTCATATTGTGTTTAAATTTATAACGATTGGTTTTGAGGCTTGAATTCCTCCAAATTTGAAAAGATTCATATGTCAAGCTCCGTTCAAAATAAAATTAAAGAGAATAGCATGCAATCCTTCAGAATATATGGCAATTGCTAGAAGCTAGTATATTTGAATGACATTACTTTCTCTTTTTTACCTAAAAAATGTTTGACTTCATCCAGGTTAGCAGAATGAAGACAGTTAGGGACCTTTATTTTCCACATTTTCCATTGCATTTGCACAAAGTTGGAATTAGAAAAATTAGAAGACTGAAATTTATTCATACTTGAAACTTTTAAATATACAAAATACAATTAAAAATTGATACAAATTTTTTTCATAAATATAAAACTAAATGACAAATGTAAATACTCATAAAAGTGTTACAGTACTTATAAATTTTATAATTAAAATTCATAATAGTAGAAATTTTAATAATGCATGTGACATTTTCCTGTGCTTCTAGATCAATTGAAGTTACCCAAGGCAGAATGGTCACTGACTCGCTGGTTCACGCTTTCTGACCTGGATCTGAAAGATTTACATGTGGCCTTTCTTTTGTGGTTTTGTGAATGTAACATGAAAAGTAATTAAAAACCTTTTGTCAGGATAGACAAAAGAAAGAAGAGATGAAGTTTTAAATCGAACTATTCTAGATATGCCTTAAGTTGATGGAAGGTTGATAGTAAACTGAGGAAATATATATTGTTCTGAAAGGTTTCTGGGTAATATAATTGGTGATAAGAAAATAATTGAGTTAAAGAAAATAATTGTTAGTACCAGCAGTCACTATAACTTGTCCCACAAACCGTGTTAGCACCGGAAGTCAATTATGCATTTACCCCTTGCACAGTTTGTAAACAAAATATCAACACTAATTAAAGCATTTGATAAATATAACCTACTTTTAATTAATGGTATACGAATATCAAGAAAGCATCTTATTTGTGCGGTGCAAAAGGAAAGAGTCTTTGAAAAAACATCCAATCCAACTGCATAGGTTGTGATGTGATACCAACCACCACTACACTTTGTCTTGAAGCTGAGCGAGTAAAAGTAATGAGAGTTTAGTGAAGTCAACTATCATTACATCTAAAAAGAACCAATCAAGTTTATTGCAACCAATTTCTTACCTTTCTCATTTAACTCTTAATATCACTTGTTCTTGAGATCATGGCTGCAGCAGTCGTAGGTGGTGCGTTCCTCTCTGCCTTCCTTGATGTTCTTTTTGAAAGGCTGGCTTCACCTGAGGTTGTCCACTTTATCCGTGGAAACAAGCTTGACAACAAGTTGCTTCAACAGTTGGAGACCACTCTGAGAGTGGTTAGAGCTGTGCTTGATGATGCTGAGAAGAAACAAATCACAGACTCCAATGTCAACCACTGGCTCACTACTCTCAAAGATCTTGTCTACCAGGCTGATGACTTGCTCGATCATGTTTCTACCAAAGCTGCCACCCAAAAGAAGGTAAGAAACTTCTTTTCTCGTTTTTCCAACAGTAAGATAATTACTAAGTTGGAAGACATAGTTGTCAGATTAGAGAATGTTTTAAGACTTAAGGAGAGTCTTGATCTGAAAGAGATTGTAGTGGAGAACAGTGTACCATGGAAAGTTCCATCAACATCTCTTGAAGATGGATCTCACATATATGGTAGGGATGATGACAAGGAGGCCATAATCAAGTTGTTGTTGGAGAATAGTAGTGATGGTGAAGAAGTGTCTGTCATCCCTATTGTGGGCATGGGTGGAGTTGGAAAAACTACTTTGGCACAATTGGTGTACAATGACGACAGTTTGAAGGAGATATTTGATTTTAAAGCATGGGTTTGTGTTTCTGAAGAATTTGATATTCTAAACGTCACAAAAATTATATCAGAGGCAGTTACTGCACAACCTTGTAAAATCAATGATCTAAACTTACTGTAAACATCACAAAAATTATATCTGAGGCAGTTATTGCACAACCTTGTAAAATTAATGATCTAAATTTACTTCACCTTGATTTGATGGACAAACTGAAAGATAAAAAGTTCTTGATTGTTTTGGATGATGTTTGGATTCAAGATTATGTTAATTGGAGTCTTCTTAAGAAACCACTTCAACGTGGAATTAAGGGAAGTAAAATTCTTGTTACAACCCGCAATGAAAGTGTAGCAACTGTAGTCCGTACTGTTCAACCTTATCATCTAAATCGATTGTCGAATGAGGATTGCTGGTTAGTGTTTGCAAACCATGCATGTTTTACTCCAGAGCCTACTGAGAATTCAATGACTCTAGAAAAAATTGGAAGAGACATTGTTAAAAAGTGTAAGGGATTGCCTTTAGCAGTACAATCACTTGGAGGTATGTTGAGAAGAAAGCATGGCGTTAGGGATTGGAATGATGTACTGAACAGTGACATTTGGGAACTTGAGTGTAACATTATTCCAGCACTGAGAATTAGTTATCATTATCTCCCTCCACAACTAAAACGATGTTTAGTTTATTGTTCATTGTATCCTAAAGATTATGAATTTCAGAAAAATGAATTAATCTTATTGTGGATGGCTGAAGATCTTTTAAAGCCAGGAAAAACAGGAAAATCATTAGAAGAAGTTGGTTGCGAGTATTTTGATTATCTAGTTTCAAGATCATTTTTTCAACATGCAAGAATTAAGACACCGGGAAATGATTTTGTGATGCATGACCTTATGCATGATCTAGCAACATCCCTTGGACGAGAATTCTATTTGAGATCAGAAGATATCGGAAAAGAAACCAAGATTGATGTCCAGATTCGTCATTTGTCATTTACCAAATTCAGTCATGCTGTCTTGGACAACTTTGATGGAGTAAAATTTTTGAGAACTTTCTTGTCTATCATCCATTTTGAAGGTGGTCCATTCCATATTGAGAAGGCACCATGTATTATAATGTCAAAACTTTTGTACTTGAGAGTTTTATCATTCCGTGACTTCCGAAGTTTGGATGCTTTGCCTGATTCAATAGGTAAATTGACCTATTTGCGTTATTTAAATTTGTCTTTTACAAGTGTTTCTACATTGCCAGAATCGTTGTGTAATTTGTACAATCTAGAAACCTTGAAGTTGTATAATTGCTACAAGTTGACTAGCCTACCCACTGGCATGCAGAATCTTGTAAACTTGCGTCATCTTGATATACATCGTGTTCCTTTAAAAGAGATGCCTAGAGGAATGGGAAAATTAAACCACTTACAAAAATTAGATTTTTTTATTGTGGGCAAGAATATAGAGAATGGGATCAAAGAATTGGGAGGACTTTCAAACCTTCACGGTTCGCTTATGATTAGAAATTTGGAGAATGTTACCTCAAGTGATGAAGCATCGGAGGCTAAGATAATGGATAAGAAGTACATTGACAGATTATTTTTGAATTGGTCTGAATGTAACGACAATAGTAGCCAGTTCCAAATTGAAACAGATGTACTCTGTAAATTACAACCTCACCAAGAGCTGAAATATCTATCAATAAGTGGTTATCAAGGAACTAGATTTCCGGATTGGGTGGGAAATTGTTTGTTCCACTGTATAACAGATCTACGGTTATATGATTGTAAGAATTGTTGTATGCTTCCTTCGCTTGGGCAACTACCATCTCTCAAGAGCCTCTGGATTTCACGATTGAATTCGTTAAAGACTATTGATGCAGGTTTTTACAAGAATGGAAATTCTTGTTCTGTGAAATCCTTTCCCTTCCTTGAATTTCTAGAAATTAATGACATGCCTTGTTGGGAAGTGTGGAGTTCCTTTGAGTCAGATGCTTTTTCTTCACTCAGGAGGCTTTATATTCGTCATTGTCCTAAATTACGGGGAGATTTGCCAAATTACCTTCCTGCACTGGAATCTCTTTGGATTTCTAATTGCGAGCAGCTTGTCTCTACTCTTCCAATGGCTCCTATCCTGCAAGATTTAGAGATTTGTGAAAGTAATAAAGTAGCGCTGGATGTGTTTCCTCCTTCGGTGGAATCTATAGAAGTAAAAGGAAGCCCAATGGTGGAGTCCATGATCGAGGCCATCACTAACGTCCAACCAACTTCTCTCCATTCTTTAACATTAAGTGATAGTTTCTCAGCGATATCATTTCCAGGTGGTCATTTGCCTGCATCGCTCAACACTCTTGATATCAAAGATATTAAGAAATTAGAATTCCCGTCCCTACAGAAACACGAGTTGCTAGAATCACTAAATGTATACAACAGTTGTGACTCGCTCACATCTCTTCCATTGATTACCTTTCCAAATCTCAAAAGACTCACAATCGATATGTGTGAAAATATGGAAATCTCTCTTGGTTTCAGTGTCAGAGTCACCTAAGAATCTAAGGCCTAGACGTGTTTGTGATGAACCAAATGAGAATGAGACACATGAAATGTCCTCTATCTTCCCTCCAATGGGTAAACTAGTAGGAGCTTCCTCAATGTTCACTTTAACTCAAATGGAAAAACTACAAGCTCATCGATATGTGCTTTTAAATTGTGCAATTGTCACACCTTTTGTGTTGCAAGTAGTGTTGACAAGAACTAACAGCAAGCAGACTTACCATATTATGGGAAATTGGAAGACATCATTGAGATTAACTATTATGGTCGGTTCAAGGTTATTCTTTTTAAATGTAAATGGGTTGATACTACTCATCATAGAGGATATAAGAAGGATTCTTGGAATTTCAATTGTGTTAATTTTAATAAATTTATTCATGTTGGTGATCGTGAAGAACATGAACCCTACATTGAAGCATCTCAAGCACAAATGGTGTATTATGTAGATGATGTGGTTAATGAAGGATGGAGTGTTGTTGTACATCTAAAGCCAAGAGATTTATATGAAATGGGAGAAGATGTAGAAGATGAAGTATATGAGAATGAGCCGTACCAACAACAAGAGCTTGACCAATTTTTTGGCCTTAATGATGAATTTATGTAATTGGCTACAAACCACTTAAATGATGATATAGTTGAGACAAATATTGCTGCAAACTTAGCAGAACACATTTGAATTAAAAACATAGTTAATATGGTGCTTTATTTAACGGTAATGGTTTAAATGTTTTATAATTGAAAATGTTGTTTCATTATTATAACATGTTTAAGTTACATTTATAAATTTGTTATATATCTTACCTCTTATCTTTTTTTTTTATCATATAACATGCAACCATGCCAAAGGTTAAACATTTTCAGAATCCACTAAAGTCAGCACCTCAACCACAACAGGATGCTAATCCTCTAACACAAGCTCACGCACATTCCTCACCAGCAATGAATCTTAGAGAACTTTCACCATCTATTGAAGTCCCATCAAATGTTTCACCACCAATAGATTCCTCACCAACAAACGATGTTTCGCATGAAGAAACCCCACAAGAAGAGTTCCCACAAGAAGCTCCAACATCTAGACGTACTGATCGCGAGTCTTTACAACATTGGAATGTTGATGCCATAGGTATATACATTACATATGTTTGTAATTGATTGATATTTTGTTTTTAATTATTTTCTTGTGATTAAGTCAATTGATTTTTTGTTAAAGACTCAGAAGGAGTTATAAAGAAGATTAAGATAAAGGTTAGGGAAGTTAATAACTTACCCAATGGGGAGCGCATCATTGTGGAGTTTGATGACCAAGGCCAAGCATTTGTATAGGCACAAGGCCTACTTGCTGGATTTTGTGGAATCTTAGCAACTGATTGTAACTTGTTTCCAATTAATTTTGAAAAGTGGTTAGGGAAAACAGGCATGCATAAATGTTACTTTGACGATTGTTATTTAACAATCTTAAAGGTATGAAATATTATGCATATATAACTTTTTATTTCTACTTTTTTTATCGGTACATGTAAATGACATAATAATTGACTATTTTATTTTTAAGCCAAAATATTGTTTTAAAACCACTTAAGCTACTGCAATACGATGTTGCAAACTTAGTATTGGAAAGAAATGGGCTACCTTTAGGCAAAGTTTATGGAATAAGTTCAGTGACCTTACCAAGACTAGATATGAAATTATAAGTAATGTATCTTCTACGTATCGTGAAAAAAAAGTAAGAGACTCTTCAGCTAAGTAACCCTCAGCTATAGAACCTTTTGGTTGTGCCTTATTCCGTACAAAGGACTTTAAATGACCTAATTCCCTATAAAAAGTTTTCAGAGTTGAGCATTGCAACAAGTTGAAGTCGTTGCCTACTCAGATGAGTGCTCTTCTTCCAAAGTTAGGTTATATTGAAATAAGCAACTGCCCGGAAATTGAGTCATTTCCTGAAGGGGGTATGCCACCTAACTTGAGTACGATTTGGATTTCCAATTGTGAGAAACTAGTGAGCGGCCTAGCATGGCCATCGATGGACATGCTTACCGATCTCATCATCCATGGTCCGTGTGATGGCATGAAGTCCTTCCCAAAGGAGGGTTTGTTGCCTCTCTCCCTTACGTCTCTCTCTCTATATCGCTTCTCAAGTCTAGAGATGTTGGACTGCAAGGGGCTTCTCCATCTCACATCCCTCCAAATCTTACAAATTGGTCTTTGTCATAAGTTGGAGAATATGGCAGGTGAAAGGTTGCCTCTCTCTCTAATAAAATTACAAATTATTGATTGTCCTTTGCTGCAAAAACTATGCCTCATGAAGCACCGTCAAATTTGGCCTAAAATTTCTCATATCCCTGGCATTAAAGTTGACGATAGATGGATTTAGTGACGAAGGATGATCATCAGGTAATTCTCCTGCTTTGTCCTTTTCTTTATGTTTAACTTAGTTATTGCATTCAACAAGTCATGGGTTACTTGTTTAATTTGAAATATGATTCGTTTTGCAAGTGTAACGATAGAAAATTCATCTGTATATTGTTTCTTTTCGATGAATATTCGTGTATCGTTAATTAAAACGTATTGCAGAAATAACTAACGGTCTTTTTCTATTTTGCAGTTTGTTTGCAACTCCGCATAGTAAGAGCCGAGATTTTGCTTAGCAATGAATACCAGGTAAATATTATCTTAGGATAGATCTCATTACACAATATAAATTTAACTCTTAAAATTATGATAAAGTTGTCTTGAAAGAAACCATGATTTTTGTTTTGGCAAATATGTGTGAGAACAATATACTTTCTATCTTTGAATATAATATGTATTCCAATTACTTAACTAATTAATTTCCTTTTGCTGTCTAAATATTAATAGCATACTCCGATATTAAAAAAAAATCCTTGTTCTTGTCAAACAGTATAACACAAGGTGATATTTTTTATTGACCGAGTGTGAAATCAAGTGTCCAATATTTGGTTTTTCTCGGAACTTCGCGTGAAAAACCAAAATGTAATTTCCATTATAACAACTTATACAAATCACAAAATACATTGATTGTGAACTTCTTTTTCTAATTTATTAACCAGCCTGTGGTTGAACTAATTAAACAATTAAGAAGTTTATCCGCTTATAATCAATAGTACACGATGATTTGCATCGAAAACACATTAAAAAATTGTCTAACCAGTCTCAACCAAAATTACATAAGGATAATCGCAATGGTTAACATGTTAGTTGTGTAAATTTGTGTTTTATATCTACTTCAGTCCTTATTATAAGACACTTTTAACATATTTATAAAGACTATTATAAGTAATTATTTAAATTGATTTTGTTAGTTTTATAAAAAATTATGGATCAATTTTACTTTTATTACTTATTATTAAATTGTTAAAGAAGAGGTTAAAATATTACTTCACATCAAAGTTTATGCACTGATACCAATAATTATTGATAAATGGTAATCAGAGTTTAAGAGATGAAAGAAAGAACATTTATTTATTAAATTCTCTTCTTATTATTCAATAATAAAAAACACATATACTCAAAATCTCTAATAAGGGGTAAAAAATGAAAATAAAATTAATATTTTATATAAATTATAAAAATGTCTTATAAAAAGGACTGTCATTTGTTCCTAAATTGTGCCTAATAATAAGTATTGGAGAAAGTCCTTTCTTTTATGAAGTTGTAATCCAAGAAAAAAAAAAAAAGATTTCGCTATTCAATTTTATACTAATATAATACTCATAATATAGCACTTGAAGTTGCATTTAATTTATTCTTTGTTAAATAACTGAAACTGAAAATAGTTATGAAATTAATCCTAGATTATTGAGATACCAAAATTCCTGGCTCACTTTTCTGGTGATATTATCCTATATATGTTGCTGAATCTAAATTGGTTCCAAAATGAAAATTGATGTACTATGTATGTTGCTGAATCTACAGAGAATCAACACACTATCAAAGGCAACTTGTGGGATTGTCTAAATCAAATTCAGGTAAGGATGTTGCTCCTGGTCCTTTAGCTTCAAAGAAGAAATAACAATACAAGTATTAACTATTAAGTAGGAAATATTGATAAATACTATTCAACGAAACAATTCCTAAAAAAATGTTACTCATCAATGTCATTATACTTTTTCTATCTCAACGTATCATTACTCATTGGTGTCCCTTTCTTCTTATTTCAATGTATTTGAAAGTGTTTAGGTATATTTTGTTTAATGTACTATTATATATTCAATTGATTGAGGTCAGAGTGAAATTCATGTTTCAGATATGGTAGATTGACTTCGAGAATCTAGACCTACCCATGGATCAGAATTCAACTTTCAACAAGTGCTAAATGGAACTTTTAATTGACATAACACTGACACTTCCTCAATAAGTGAATTTTTAATCGGAAGATATTTCACTGGATACAATAAGAGGGATACATATACAAGGCCAACTATATAGTATGATGATCTCAGACTGCCTCTTAATACTGATCTTTCAGATGCATTTACGAGGTATATATATAATTAAAAAATATTGCATGCCCTTTTACTGCTTGCCATTTCAAATTTTCTGCTACATGAGGGTTTGCTTTTTCTGATAATATTGTAAGAAATTGTAATATACTGATTGTTGAGCAAAACACTGAAAGTTGATGTGTTTATCTGTAAAGCTGATATTTCTGGACAAAAGGAGGAGGGAACGAGAGCAAGGTCTGAAGATGGCAAAATGTTCTGAATAAGAAGAGAGGGGAACAATGCAAAGATTGATCCATGTCTGCCTGGAGCAAGCACCGACAACTCCCTGAGCATATAGGCCTTATGGCCAGCTAGAATTGGTAATAACTATCTAGTCAGCTACTTATTCTATGAATAAGTTTCATATAAAATTGACCTAGATTCTCCTATTAACACCACAGATTCTTGAACCCATTTAACAATTATAACCTAGTATCTCAAGCAATGGAGTGTAAGCTTCAATTCTTCATGCTTTTAATGAACTTAATTGTGTGTTCTATTTCTTTGACTTTAGGAAAATATTGAGCATGTCACTTTCTATACTCTTGGCGTGGGAATACAACCAGTTGACTATCATTAATTCAAAAGAAAATATGTGAATTATTGAATTTGCTTTTGTTGTTATAATATTTGCTTTGACCCTGGGCCTTGTTCAAATTGACAGGATGATCCCATCCTACTTCTGTTTACAGCTCCTATTGGGCATGTCACCTAGGTATGCTGACACATAATTGAAAAATGATTTCTTGCCTTTAATTATTACTTGTTATAAATTATTTATTACTACACATTTAAAGATTTACCGTTTTCTTGAATATTTGTTGCAGGAAACAGAAAAGTTAATGGTCTCTGGCTTGGGAGACTGTAGTGTGTATACTGTATAGGCAGTGAATTCAATTACAGTACACTGTTTTCTCTCATCTTGATATCAATGCTCAAAACAAAAATGAATTGGAAGAAAGGGAATCATCAATTCACAAATCTTTTTATTCTTTAAGATCAAAGTGAAGGGAATGATTTCATCTGTAGAAACAAAAGTCAATCTTTCACAAGAGGAACTTGATTACCTTCATTTTGGCAAGTCAGTTTGGATCTAGACAAGAGACAAGGAGGTTTGAAGTATTCATCGGGAATGTCAAAATTATTGATAGTTGAGATTTTTCCACTATCATAATTAAATACTTTAGAGTTTTTTTTTACTTTTTAAGTTTGATTAAAGATTGTTTATGTAAAAAAAGCAAAATGTAGCTGTAGGAAAAAAATCTTAACTTATTAGCTTAGTCATAATTTGTTATTTGTTTTGCTCAATTAGGTCATAATTTGTTATTTGTTTTACTCAATTAGGAGTTAATTAGTTTTAGTATGTAAACACTTACTCTAACATTTTTAATGTGTACAAAATTAAGTTCATAAATCAAATATATCATATCAGTTTTTGCTCTCTTTTGTATATGTGAAGTTGCATATTTTTCATTTCAGCTTGTTATATAACTCAATCGATATTGATATTAATTTTCCTCTCAAATTATCATCTCCTTAAGCTTTTTTTTTTTTAATTGAATTTTGATAATCTAACCAAATATTTTATGTTAATGTTAAGTTTATATAACTCGATCGATATCGACATTACTTTTCTTTGTTGAAATTTATGTAAGATATACCAATAAAAATAATAGTAATACATGGACAAAACCTTGAATAATTTATTAACTAAAGTTACTTCACTATAAACTAAGAAAAAAAAGAATTCATCAAAATAAAAAAATAAAAAAAATCTTGTCAAAGTTTATGATATGTCTTACTATACTAAAGGAGATTGAGATTTGTCGTGTACACAATTTTAGTCTAATTCTTTCTTTTTAATTACTCTTTTATAACTCCCATTTTTTATTTTTATACATGTCAATTCATAATAATTCATATTTTTCGTTAAACATTTATTATTATATAGTTTTTATTATTTGTTATTTTAAAAAGTTTTACAGAGACATATAGTACTTTTTATACGCTAATACAATGAACGAAGAAAAAAATAATAATAGAAAAATAAAAAGATAAGTATAAATCATTAAAAGGTCCAACATTGTGATTAACGATATCACGCTCTAACAAGAGTTATATTCCATCCAACTCCCACTAAAAAGGTGGTTTTATCTTATATACTCTTATAATAAACAAACGTAGAGCTGCACTTGACTCTCATAATCCTTAACCTGCACATGCTACTCAGTAATCCAGGAATAATGAACAAAAATATGAGAATGATCTATTTTTCGAAAAAAAAATAATAACCGATGTAAATTTAACACGAGAATAAAAAGCAGGACCTTCCTTCAACACTCTAATGTACACATACAGTGAAGTTGGTTTCAAAAGGCCCAAGTTTTTCACTAGACCAAACTAAACAATAACTCAATTAACTCTTTTACCAAGAGTTGTAAGTAAACATCTATATTATTTTCAGGCATCTGTTTGCCTGGAATGATCATTGATAAGATGAAAGAAGTGTGTTTCATACATATCCAAGGAGGAAGATTATATGGAATCAAGAACACTGGCCAAATGCTATATGCAGAACTCATGGTTCCAAAAGGATTGAAACCATCACTAGCAAGGCCTAAGCGAACATTTCGAGGATCTAAAGCAAACTCAGGGTGTGTCAAATCAAATGCCTTCCATGCCTCGTCATCCCTTGGATGTCTTAGCAATCCATCTTTGTTGTCCTCCAAAACATGTCATCTCATATGCTCAAATATCTTACAACACAAACAATCTTTGCAACCTTGGTTTCAATGGAAAGTGACGCAAAACCTTTATAGCTTGTTTTATTTTCTTCTTTGGGTTCTATCTCGATGTACCACAATGCTTGCATGTTTGCAAGTCTTTATCATCATCTTCCAAATATAACTCAATCATTTGGACATGCATTTATCTTGGTGTAGTTAAGACCAAGTTTGGTCATGATTTTCTTGGCCTCATAAAATGAAGGAGGTAATTTTGCTTCATGAAATGCATATCTCAACAAATCTAGTATCATAGTCATTGCCTTGTCACTTGATCCACACAAAACTTTGATGTGATACAATTTTATTATAAATTCTAACTTTGTGTACTTGCTCCCTTCATACAATGTCTAGTTTGCATCATTGAGAAACTCACTAAAGCTATTATGATCTTGTATATGATGTTCATGTAATCGTTTATTTGCACTTGATGCTTGTCATGTCATTGCATTAACGGTTTCTTCCTCGTAGTGCCCAAATGCATCATTAACCATGGTTTCCATTGGATTTGCAAAGTGCAATGACTCTTGTGGACCATCTTCATCTGTAAAAGGCTCTAATATTTTTTTCTCACCATGAAGATTCCATAACAATTTTTAGAAAATGGTCTACAAAGCAAATGATCTTGTACCGCATGTCTAGTTTGCCATTTTATAAACCCACACTTTGGACATGGACACTGTATATTTTCCCTAACAACTTCGTTCTCAAATGCAAAGTCTAAGAATTTACTAAAACCAATTGAGTATTCAATTGTATTTCATGGTTTAAAAATCCAAGATTTATCCATTAGTCAATATGAATTTGATACACAATATGAAATAAATAAGAAAAATCATGGTCAAATAACAAGATTTTTACACAAACATGCTATTATGAAAAATGAAGAAGTTAAATTATGTATACATTGTCAAATAATCATTCTAAATCCATAACATTAAATTCACGAAGTATATTCCTAACTTTTTAGTTTATCTAAAATTAAATTCTCTCAAATCATAACAAATATATATTAATAAATAGGCTAAATTTGATACGAGACTAGTTAAAACACATGAAATAAAATAAATAAGCATGATAAAGCATTGAAGGAAGAAGAATATCACAAACTTAAAAGAAAAAATCAAACCAAGATTAAAGTAAAAGAAGAGATGAGATTTGACTTACTTAAAAGTAATTTAAGAATCTTTACACTTTTACGTGGTTGTGTAACCTTGAAATCCAATTCTTGGAATTATCTTAAATTCCTATTCGACAATCCAAATAAAATATTAGAATATTTTAAATAAAATATTATTATAAGAAAAGTAGTTAATTAAAGCGAAAAGGAAATATTTCGTTAACTCATAACTTAATAAAATAGATTGTATCAGTACAAAGTGGATTCACTCATAAAAATATCTTTTATTTGCTTTGTAGTCTAGGCCATTTCATTCCATTATAACTTAATAATTTAACTAGAATGCATAAACCTAAATAGTTAAATATCTAAATAAAAATGAACTAAAGTAGTTCAATAGGTTGATATCATAATTTATTATAATATATCATAATCAATAAGGAAATTCATAATTAATATTCCCATTGGATATTGTCTAAATGCAACATGCAAATTATACTTGAAATGCTTTTCTAATTCACTTACAATGTGCCTTTGAAAAAGTGGGGTCCAAATGCTAATTGCCTATACTTTCACATGCAGCAAGCATATTCTCCCTACAAGTGATATCATTTTTGCTTGACTAGGAAATTTTAAAGTAATTAATTGATGATTAAGTTAAAGGAATTAATGTCCTCAGTACCGCGTGTTTGGGTTTAAAAGCTTTACTTTTAAAAAAGCAATTCTAAATAGGATCTTCAGAAAGTGATCTTTAACTTCTTTTTAAGTATTTGATTTGATTTTACTTAAGCATCAAGTGACAGTATTTTTAACCGAAGCCATGTTGAGAATATATATTCCTAACAATGATTAGTTGTTCAATTGATAATATCAATTGGGTGGGATTTAAAAAAGGAAATGTATCTACTTGTGTAGTTTAGAAAAAAAATAAAATGACTAATTTATTGGGTTCCCTTTACATTTTGGGCATAAAAAATGATAAATTATGTTATATTAGTCCTTTTATCTAATTGGGAAGTGAGAACTGTTCAATCCTACGATACTAATGCATGTGTATGTTAAATGGACCTTTAATGCACGGATGTTAACAACATTTTGAGGTGAAACTATAATCCTACTTGCAGTACAGTGCTTAATTTTGTCCAATCTTAATAATATAGATCCCAAATGTGCAAGATACAAATTCAGCCAAACATTTTGCTAAATTACATCACTTGCGAATTTCCTTCTTATGATTAATTGTGTCTGATTAAGAATTGAATTCTCTCGATCAGCGATACGATAAATTCAGCGTAGGAATTGTTTACATCCAAAACAAAAACACTATAATTAAAAGGAAACTAAAAGACAAAATAAATTAAAGGATTAAATGAACCCAATACTACTAGTTCAAGAGCAACTAAAATAGCATATCACAATGGTGAATCAACAAACCTTGTGCAGACGAAAACATGTTCCTTGAACACATATCAAGACATCTGTTTCACGCCATATTTTCAGAGACCTAATTGAGTTGTTAACATAAAATGGGAAAAATGTTATTGAAAAAATAAGAATTAACAGAGTGAAGCATAGGTGACAGCTCCACTTGTAGAGAACCACATATGGAATCAAGAACACTGGCCAAATGCTATATGCAGAACTCATGGTTCCAAAAGGATTGAAACCATCACTAACAAGGCCTAAACGAACATTTCGAGGATCTAAAGCAAACTCAGGGTGTGTCAAATAGTGAACTAGGAGACAGAAGCATAAGAGAGCTATCAGATGTGGGACTAAATTTTATAAAAAAAAATAATCGTTTGCTAGGCACGATGCAAGACCTCTAGAGAACGCATTTTATAAATGCATATAAATCATGATGCATGTCATGCATTCACAAACTCATAGACTCATCACTTTACTTGTAACAGAATTTCAGGTCTTATCTCATTTCATCGCATTTCACATTCTCATAGTCGTAGTGTTCACAATAGCAAAGATTGATCCATGGTTTCCTGAAGCAAGCACCGACAACTCCTTAAGCATATAGGCCTTATGGCTAGCTAGAATTGGTAATAACTATCTAGTCAACTACTTATTCTATGAATAAGATTCATATAAAATTGAAACTAGTACAAAAGAGACATTTTATGTCTGTTATTTTAGACTTTTTACATTAGAAAAAGTCCGACGTCAATGCAAGAGACGTAAATTTACGTTGGATGTTTTTATAACCGATGAGAAATGGTTGACAGACCAAAACAAAATAACCTTGTCAATCCGTGAACACGTCCAAAAAATACCCAAATGCTTCAATCCAATCGGAGAGATAGGTCCAAAATAAAGAATGGGTCTTGCTGTCGTGCATTGTGAATGGAAAAATGTCCAAAGGTCTCGCACCGTTGTCGCCGAAAATCGCTGGAGAGAAAAGCATTGTCAAGGCACTCGTGTGCAGGAATAAAACAACACTTTTACACAGAAAGATCAATACACACATGAAAACACTAACTTCAATCCATGAAAACGCCTAAATGATTCAACCCAATTGGAAAGATAGG